CAAAATTCTTATGGGAATGGAATTAAGAATCTTTTGCACTATATTTTTTAAAAGTTAAAGTAAGTAGTTAGGATTAAAAATAAAATGTCAGCTAAGCAGAAACAGGTGGCTGAGGATTAACCTGAACAAAATCAAATTAAGCTACAGCAGGAACATACATGTGATCAACAAAAGGCTTTGGGCCAGCTCTTCAGCTGGTATGCTCCATTGACTTCACCTTGCACCAGCTAAGGGTCTTTTGTCTGCTTAGAAATGTAGAACCATTTAATTATCCTTTGTGATCTCAGTGTATTACCGCAATACAACAATTAGGCCCCATTTTAAAATCTATTTCATTTTAAAATTTAGTCTAATTTTTTTAGCATTATCTGAAGTTGGTGAGAAATATGTAGACGAAGAGGTAAAGAAAGCTCTAATAGGCATTAAGCAGATGAAAGTTATGATGGAAAGAAATGAAGATAAACATGTACATCTGATGAAAACCTTGAAGAAGAGCAGTGAGGAAAAGCAGGTAACTATAAATGATAACTTCTAGGGAATTGATATCTTATCATTTTTATGTTGTCACTTGTCCCAGTCAGAGACGTTATGGGCTCGCTCGGTTTGTGACCTAACCCATGGTAGCGGCACATGCTTTCACACTGCCCGTTGAACATCCCAGGAAAGTCTGTGGTTCAGGAAGTCAGAATCTCCTTCCTGGTCCCTCCACACTTCTGAAAAGGATTTTAACTGTGCCAAGCGTATGCCTGGTGTAGTGTATGCCCTCCTGATATGGCAACACAGCTACACCACTAGGCATCTTCATGGAGATGGAGTCAAGGCTTTGTTCACTGCAGTCCCCTTCCACCACTTCCACTTCCTATCCTTAAGCATGCAGGATATAGTGTAACAGCAGCTTTGCCCAGCCTACTGTTCCCTGAGCACTAGAAGCAGCAGCATGGTATATCAGTGCTAAGGGCGCAGTATGTCTCCTTACCCTCCCACCCCCCCTTATGTGAACACAAGATGAGCTATACTCTGGCCCCATACAATTACATTTTAAATATTAAATAATATTCTATTAATTTAGAAAATTAAGTCTTGCATTTGCCAGTTTCTTAGGAAAGAAGACGAGGTCTTCCCATATGTATGTTGGCAAAACGGGGATCCAATTGTAACAGGGCCCGCTGGGCGGAACTGCAATATAAATCTAATATATAAAGGAGAATGTTTGTGCTCTAATAACTTGGACACTGTAAGAGCTACCGCAACCAAACTTTCCATGGGATAACCTTTCCTCCAGGAGAAGGTTTTAATTTACTTTGGACCCAATCGGGCCCGATCTCAACCTGTAAAAATAAAAAAATAACCCACCACACTGCGCCGCAGGGGCAGCCCTGCCCACTCTAGGTCACGTGCCCGCGCCGTCCGGGACTCGCTCCGCCCCCATGCGCACAACAGCTCGGGCACCCACCCTGCCCCCCGCGGCAACCGTTACCAGGTAGTTTAAAAAAAACAAAAAAATGGACACAGTTGTTTGGGGATAGGGGTGGGGGAACTGGCCAGGAGGGGAGCAGGGCTGCCCGGGAGGAAGGGGGAGGGGTCGGAAGCAGAGCTGGCAGGGGGGCCAAGGGCAGCAGGGT